GGGAGCGCCGCCGCGCTTCCCAAGCGGCGCACTAGCGCAGTGCACCACCGGGCCGGCCCTCACACGCTCTCCTTTTAAAGCCATTCCCATCACTCGGAGCGCTGCCACACTTCCCAAGCGGCGCACTAGCGCAGTGCGCCACCGGGCCGGCCCTCACACGCTCTCCTTTTAAAGCCATTCCCATCATGCTCACTCTCTATGAAGCCAACAGAACCGTGCCCATCACTCCATGAATGGATCGATCCACTCACGAGGGCACAGTCCTCACAATCTAGTCACCTCTTCAAGGACCCACTTTTCACTTACTGTAATAGGATTTCCCACCCTCTTAACACTGTCACAGTGCAGACTAAGTTTCTAATACATTAAACTTTGGGGGGGACACAGTTCAATCCATAGCAATAATAAATATTTTTTTAAAAAAACAACAACTCGGGCCGGCCCGGTGGCGCACTGCTACAGTGTGCCGCTTGGGAGCACGGCGACGCTCCCGCCGAGGATTCGGATCCCACATACAGACCGGTTCCCGCTCACTGGCTGAGCGAGGTGCGGGCGCAGCACCGAGGCTTGCGATCCCATTGCCGGTCCTGGTCCGGTATGGGCGCGACACTGAGGGTTGCGATCCGTTGCCGGACACGAAAAAACACAAAAAGGAAAAAAAAAAAAAAAAAAAAAAACTTTCTTTGCATTATTACTGAACAGTAGACTTTAGACCTCTGAAGGAACTTAGTGGCACGTCATCCAGCCCATGTATAGAAGGCTAAAGCTCAGAAACATTATGAGATACAGCTAATGGTCATGCAAAGAAATTCTGACCCTGTAGTACTAAATTACCTCACAAGCAAAAGCATCATGTATATGTTTTAATCGTCTCTTTGGATATTTGCAAGAAAATCCAACCAAAATTAAGGCACACAGGAATGTTAAAATAAATCAACAATTAATTTTTTTTTTAATGAAACTAATGGTTCTTTAAAAATTAAAAATATAATTACCATGTCATCCAGCAATTCCACCTCTGGGTATATGCTCAAAAGAACTGAAGGCAGGGTCTCAGAGATTTCTGTACACCCATGTTCATAGCAACATTATTCACCATAGCCAAAAGATGGAAGCAACCCAAGTGTTAAGGGTCAAATGTGTCCACCAAAAGTTCACGCACTGGAAACTTGATCTCCACTGTAAAGTGTCAAGAGGGTGTGAAATCCAATTATGGTATTTGAAAGGTGGGGGCCTTTGAGAGGTGACTGGATCATGAGGACTGTGCCCTCCTGAATGGATTAATCCATCATGAAGTTATGAGTTATCACGGGCATGGTTCTGATGGCTTCATAAGGAGAGTAAGTGAGAAGGTTAACCCTCCTGCTCAGCCCATTCTCACCGTGTGATACCCTGCATCACCACAGGACCCTTTAGATGGTTCCTGCCCAGAAGGCTCTCAGCATATACACCCCCTGGACTGTGGACTTCCTGGCTCCAAAACTGTAAGAAATGGGCTGGCCCCGTGGCGCACTCGGGAGAGTGCGGCACTGGGAGTGCAGCGTCGCTCCTGCTGCGGGTTCAGATCCTATATAGGAATGGCCGGTGCGCTCACTGGCTGAGCGCGGTGCAGGAGACACCGGGCCAAGGGTGGCAATCCCCTTACCGGTCACGAAAAAAAGAAAAAAAAAAAAAAAAAAAAAAAAACACAAACGAACAAACAAAACTGTAAGAAATAAATTTTGTTTCTTTATAAATTACCCAGACAGCAAACAGACTAATACACCAAGTGTCCATTGACAGATGTATGGAAATGCAAAGTGTTGTATATACATACAAGAAATATTATTCAGCCTTAAGATGGAAGGAAATTCTGACACATGCTTTAACATGAATCAACTTTGAGGACATTAAGCTAAGTAAAATAAGCTGGTCACAAAGAGCCAAATACTACACAATACCACATATATGAGGGACCTAGAGTAGTCAGATTCATAGAGACAGAAAGTAGAATGGTGGTTGCCAGCAGCTGGGGGAGGGGGCTACAAAGCTAGTGTTTAATGGGTGCAGTGTCAGTTATGCAAGATGGAAGAGTTCTGGAGGTGGATGGTGGTGACGGTTGTACAAGAATGTGAATGTACTTAATGCCACTGACTTGCACACTTAAAAATGGTTAAAACGGTAGATTTTGTGTTACATGTATTTTAACACAATAAAAACATTTTTTGTTTAATGGCTAATAGTATTCAAATAGTAGTGGGTGATTCTGTAACTACATCAAAAACATCTAGCCAGGACAGCACTTTATCGGTCATCTGATTTTTGAAGGATTCTTTGTAACAGTTCACCTTTGTATCAGCACTACAGTTACCTAGTCATGAACCATAAACCCAGAATTTACAGTCAAGCTCAAACACCTACTGTGGTTTGAACTTCAGATAATAAAGCTGAATTTCCTGAAAGTGATGAACAACTCAAATAACTGCCTCACAAGTTTCCACGATTAGTATCAATTTACAGCAAACACCTAATAAAGAATACTGACTTACACTGTTGGGAAGGCATTTTTCTGATGACAAAATGATACCAAAAATAAGCCCAGCTGTCCTGAAAACTTTTTTTTACAAAGTAATTTAATTTGAAAAGACAAAATGTCTTAATGTTCGGGGCCGGCCCGGTGGCGCACTGGATAGTGCGTGGCTTGGGAAGCGCGGCGGCGCTCCCGCCCGAGGGTTCGGATCCCACATACAGACCGGTTCCCGCTCACTGGCTGAGCGAGGCGCGGGAGCAACACCGAGGGTTGCGATCCCGTTGCCGGACACGGAAAAAGACGAAAGACAAAGAGCAACACCGAGGGTTGCGATCCCGTTGCCGGACACGGAAAAAGACAAAAGACAAAAAAAAAAAATGTCTTAATGTTCACTAAGAAAGCACAGAACTTAACAGATCTCTGTCATAAGTCAATTCACATTACATTTTCTAGACGTGTTTTTCATAAAAGCCAATTTTGAAATATCTGAAAAAGAGGTAAACTGGATCCAGAAATCAAAGTCTACTGCATACAGGAAATGAGTAACGATCATTTCTAATTATTGTATCTCTGTCCAGATTAACAACATAGGAAAATCTGGATTACACCACGAAAGAAATTTAAATCTGGTGCAACTAAGGCTTACAAAAAGCACATGTAAGTGCAGGCTGGGCACAACCCATGGGCCCCCCAAAGCTCTTACCTCTTGGTGATCTGGCTCGGCTCCTGCAGATCTGGGTCCAGGTCAAAGACCTCATTATCCAGCAGCCTTCGGAGGGTCACGTCTGCCAGCTGCTCCATGATCTTAAACACCTCATCCAGGTTCAGAAACATGGAGAAGTCACGTTCCTTATTCTGCGTGGTGATTCGGATGGTATCCGTTAGAAAGACATTGGATGTTCTTTCTAATTTTTGGATATCAACCCAAGGGACTACAAGTTTAACTATAAGAGAAAAAGGGAAATGCATATTAAACCATGAAATTTCAGCTAAACCTGAGAGCACCAGCAAACAGCAGTCCATAAGCAGAAATGCAGATGCCTTTTCAACCAGAGCAGGAAAGAGGGCACAGGTCTGCTTGACAACTGCTGGTGCAAACCCAACTCATGTTCTAATTGTTTTCTTAAAGATTAAGTAAAATGTCCCAAGTTTCTGGCTACCGCACACTGCCAGGGAACGTCATTCTGAAATACCAAGTAAACGACGTGTAAACTCTCTCGAGAATATTTAAACTTAAATAGTCATGCAAAAGTTTCTCTAACTATATAAATTATGGTTTGAAAAACAGCATTCATGGCACAAGTAAAAGAAAAAAAGGAATATAAATTATGAGGATTACTCATAATCTCATTTATAGAAACAGACAACATTTAGACTGTGTCAAATGACGGCTGTTAAGAGTCTTAGAAAAAGCATGAAACCTTTTAAAAAGGAATGCAGTACAAACGGTACATTTTAAAAACAAATGTTTTGTTCTCAAAAATGTTTCTAATACCACAATAGCTAGTTTGTTAATGCAGAACAGGGAGAACATGGTCTCACATCTGACTGGTTGGCTGTATCGAGACATACACAACTACTTAAAATGGTAAATGTTACCAAATATTAGGAGTCATTTATTTTTTTTCCAAATCCTGTTCTCCTAACACAGTTAGGTTTAGTGACAATCATGAATAAGTGTCAGAAAATAATTCATTTTCCTTTCAAATAAACTACTGAATGATTTAGTGTCTTCCTTTCTAACATTTATTTCCACTTACTTGGCAATGCTGTTTTCAGTGCTTTAATAATTTTAAAAGGCTACATTTATACATCAGCCTTGGGAATAAGTTTCTCCAGCTACTTTTAGTTGTTTTCACATAAAGTCTTTTACACACACACACACACACACACACACTCCACGTACACCATCAACTTTGGTTCACTAAACATCTACTTTATGAGGAACCCTGCATTGAAGAAGCCTGTTCAAACAGGGAAAACAGACATTCAAACAAGTAATCAACTTGCTGACTTGACGGGACACAGCACAGAAACACAAATATGGCACAAATGATATGGAGATGACAAAATCTGAATGGGGTTTTGAAGGATGAACAGGAGTTTCCAAACAGGTGTAAGGTTGAGGAAAGAAGGAAAAGCAGGTGTTCACTTTGAGAAGCATTTCAGGAAAAAAAAAAAAAGCAGGGATAGCCAAGATGAGGTCAGAGCACATGCCAAGAGTGGGGAACAGTTGTGGAAATAGGGTGCATGTCCTGGAGCATCAGAACAGGCTGGTGAGCTATAAAGAAAAGGGGATACCATGTACAGGAAACTGGCCACGGGGGACATTGAAGAGGAGCCATTCCCATTGGTTCTACTTGAAATATAAATGCAGAAAGAAAGAAAAAATAACATACACACATATGTACACACACACACACACACACACACACACACACACACACACACACACACACACACAGGATCCATACCACCCAGCATGGACACTTGAGACAATATTT